GGATGGATGGAGGGAGGGAGGGAGGGAGGGAGAGGAGGGAGGGAGGGAGGGAGGGAGGGAGGGAGGGAGGGAGGGACTACAATACCGGTTCTATCGAAGTCTTCATTCTCAACAGGCTCCTGAGAGGAATCAGCAGCGAGCTCGCGCAAGGTCTTGACTAGTCACCTCGGGCTCCACGTAGGCATCAGGGCGATCAGGGTCCAGATCCTGCATGAGGCGCGTCAGCAGGACAGGAAGGAGAACTATGGCGGCACTGAATGGCTTTCCTTGCTCTCTTCAACGAAGTCAGAACTTTCTTCTTGCACAGCCTCCCTCCACTTCCTCTTCCTCCTCCTGAGCTCTTGGTCCAGTGGGGAAAGATTCTGCCAACTTGCTCTCAGGCACGAAAGAGGGGAGAGGAATGACACTGACGTCCTTCCATGTCTGCTGCAGCCTTTGATCATCGACCCCTCCTCTCAAGACCAGCTGCTCAAGTCTCCAGCGAAGAGCGCAGGGAGCTCTTGCGGCATCGACATGTCCAGGGTCACTCCGAGCCTCGGGTGCAGCCTGCATGTTGAAGAGGAGCCAGAGGATGAGGGCACTGACCCAGGATTTCATTCTCCTCCTTCACCTCCAGCACGTGGCTAGCTGATGCTTTGCTGCAGACTGGGGAGGTCAAGAGTCACTTGTAGACCATCATGGGATGTGCTTTCAGCTCATTCCTCCCTCCCCTCGCCCTCCTCCCTCATGATCTTGTCCATATTCAAGACTAAAATGATTATCCTTCGTCCTTGCCTCCTTCCTGCTGATCTCCTCCTCTTCCTTCTCCCTATCCTTTTCCTTCTGTCTATCCTCGTCCTCGTCCTCGTCCTCGTCCTCGTCCTCCACGTGCTCGTCCTCGTCCTCGTCCTCGTCCTCGTCCTCGTCCTCGTCCTCGTCCTCGTCCTCCTCTGCGTTCCCATCGTCTTCCTCACCTCGACTCAGATTTTCGGCACGACTTCCCTCCTTGTCAAACTCAACTTCCAGCAGGGAGAGTTCTTCACGGTTCTGATCCTCTTCCTCTGTCCAACAGCTCCCTGACCTTGTAAGTCTGGCAGGCCCTCTCCAAAAAGGAGGAAGGCAGGTTCTGGGGTGCTGTTCTCCTCTACTTTCTCATCATCGCTGTGGCCGTTCCCGTCCTCGCTCTCAAAGGTCCCTTCCTCCTCATCTTCTTTCCTCCTCCTCTTCTTCCTCGTCTTCCAGCATAGCGCCTGAGAATGTTTCCAGAGTGGACGCTGCAGAGGTTGGCGCTCATGTGGAGGGAGTGGATGACAAACCACCTCATCACCTTGTACTACTGCAATGAGAGAGCATTCTTCAGGCTAGCTGCTGAGGTACCTCGTCCTCCTCCTCCTCCTCCTCCTCCTCGTCCACCGCGGCGTCGACGACGGCGTCATCGTCAGGTGCAATGGCGGAAGACGAGGAAGAAGCGGAGGCGGAAAGAACATCTGCTTCA